CCGTGACGTTTGATTTGGGAATCCTGGTGATCGCTAACCACGTCCTTTGTACTGGGAATCAACATATCRAACTGTGTTCGGGTGCTACGTCCCAGTAATAATTTTGCTGGTGTCTGGCGCGTTGCCGAGTGCGGTGTATTGCGGTAAAATAACAGGAATTTCTGTATAAGCGTCGCGCTGGTTGTTTGGTTTTTCTTAAAGAAGTTTTTCACAATTTTAACCCCTGATTCGGCTGCCCCGTTTGTTTCCGGGTGAAACGGAGCTCCCACCAAGTGTTTTATGTTTCCGTTAACGCAGAACGTACTAAATTCCGTACCTGTGAAACATTTSGCTCCATCAGTGGTTATGGACTTGGGGACCCCAAAACGAGCAAAAAGTTCCTGCATTTTTACGATTACCACTGACGCCGTACTCGTGCTTACCTCRAACACTTCGAGCCATTTTGAAGTCGCATCGACTATTATTAAAAAAAATTTATTTTTGTAAGGCCCTAAAAAGTCTACGTGTATGCGCGTCCACACTTGTTCCGGCCACTTCCATGGCGTTAGCACTGCTTTTGGTGGTGCGRGTCTAACCTGTATACAGTTTTYGCAATTGCGCGCCGTGTTTTCAATGTCATTGTCGATTCCCGGCCACCAAAAATACGAACGCGCGATCGCTTTCATACAGCTCATTCCCGCGTGCGTAGAGTGCAATTCTGTCAACAGGGYCTYCCTGAATTTACTAGGCATAATCACCCTGTACCCCCACATCAAACAGTCCTGTTCGCTTGAAATTTCGTGGCGTCGTGTGTAATATGATTTAAGCWATTCATTTTTATCCGCGCCTGTTGGCCATTCACCTGTGTTGATAGCTTTAATTACCTGCGATAAGATTWTATCGGTTCGTGTTTGTGTTTTTATTTTGACCCAATTAACGTTAAACGGACAATTGTCGTATATAAAGTTTAGACACTGCGGCGCCGTAGACACTCTGTCTGCTGTGCCTATTCTTWCGCGCRATAAGAAATCTGCTGCGTTTTTACCTGATTTAACGAACGAAATGTCAAAGTCGAATGCTGTAAGTACGTACGCCCACCTCTGTAGTCTATTAGCTGCATAAACTGGTATACCTTTCTTTTCYCCGAAAATGTGGTAGAGTGGTTTATGGTCGGTGATTAAAGTAAATTTTCGTGCGTACAAGTAGTCGTAGAATTTTTGAACACCGTATATTATCGCTAACCCCTCCTTTTCAATTTGCGGGTATTTGCGTTCCG